GCTCTCTTCCACCTTCAATACCACGACTGAGGTGCCCTTGAGCAAGGTACCGAACCCTCAACTGCTCCCCGGGCGCTGCAGCATAAATGCTCCGGGTGTGTGTTCACGGTGTGTGTGTGTTCACGTGATCTCATTGATACACAATTTCTGAGTTCTCACAAATAGTTTAATCATAACTAATACAGTGAAAACCCGACTCGTTTAAGCAGTGTAAATTGTCACTGATTATAACAGGAGTTTTGGTGAAAATGCAGAAATCAAATGACTGATAGACTCATGCTGATCTTGAATTGACTGCTGGAGTGATTATAAAGAGAACGGTCTTTGATTGCTTTCTGTATATAAAATAATCACGATATAGATAACAGAGTTGCCAAGCTTCTAACAGGAACAGTGTGAAGTTGATGGTTTAGTCACTAGATTCACTAATGCATAAACAGCAGTAAACCACTTTATGGCAAAGAACGTTTGTACATGAGTCCTTATATATTAAACCGATCATGGTCATGATGGTCATGAAATGCAGTTTCAAATCAAGATCAGTTTAGAAAGTTTGCATGTTTGATTGACAGACATGAGATGTTCACAAATCACAACACGCCTCTTTGATACGACGATCATGATTCTCTCTCTTTTAAATACAGATGTTTCAGAAGCGTATCATTTTGAGTTTTGAAACTTGCAGTATATTTTATTGTAGAGTAACATCCTATAAAATCCTACACCTACATTTTTTTATTTATTTCATTTCTTTTTTTATAAATGCTGTTAGCAATTACATTGATAAGTGTACCTTTCACTTACAGTAAATATAATCACGTAAATAGTGGGTTTGTACAAAGTTATTTAATCTAATCTTAAATGTGTCTTCTTTGGATGTATTTTATCAGACTTTTGCTCAGTGTCTGAGTTGGCAATTTAAGAACATGATTCTCTTGATTGTTATGTGTTCCAGTCTGATTAGTAGACGGTAGAGTTATGTCAGGTTTTTGTACAGTGTTCTTGTGTTTCCTGTGACTGTGGGCCTCAGAGCACAGTAATACAGAGCAGAGTCTGATACTGCAGCAGAGGAGATGATCAGATCCACACGGTTGATCTCTTTTGTGGATTGTTTTTCTTTTCTGAGCTTAGTAGAGAACCTGGGATCTACATCAGATGTCTTAGTCTCTTTCACACTCTCTATTATGAGCACATGAAATTGAGGAGCTGATCCGGGATGCTGACGGTACCATTGAAGTGAGTGTGCAGAGGAATAACTGCAGGATAAAGTAACAGTTGAACCCACTGCAGCAGATTCCTCAGTACTATCTGGTGTGATTTCATCTCCAAAACTCACACCTGGAAAAGAGCAAAAGAATAACTTTTCAAATAGTGTTTGAAATTGATTTATTACAGTGATCAATGATTTGAAATTATATACATAAAAAAATACAGGTAAATTTTAATGCTACATTGTCATTGTGGTAAAAAAATAATACATTTAGGATGTGATATTTAACTATAATAATTTAGCATTTAAGATTATTTATGACAAATTATTATGTTTATATCCTTAAAATTAGAAATACAGATGCATGCAAAACATACACAAAAGCACTTACATGTCAAGGCAGAAAGCAGAATGACTGAATGAAGAATCATTGTGCATGTGTGTGTTTCACTACAGCAGGACTGAGCTTTGTGACAGTCTAGCAAATGTAACAAGATCATCTCAGATGCATGTGCTAAACTCCTCCTCTTTCACACTCTTACAGTTGATGCCAAAAACTGGTTGTCAAATACACTTATTTTAAAACCAAACATTACATTTAATATAATAAATGTGAGATTGTGCGGGTCAAGAAATTATTTTTATACAGGTTCACAAAAGAATATTAAAACCATTTTTCAGCACATTACATACTTTATGTAATGTATAGTGATGAGTGCACAACACTAAACAATTAAATTCCTAATTAAAAGATTTTTTTATTATATGCATGTTATTGTTGTGGTATAAAAGTCAGTAACGTGTGGATTTGCATCTCGTCATATAATTGAGCACTTGCTCTGTTTTTGTATGAGTGTTGATTGTGTTTTAGTCACTGTGGGCTGCAGAGCACAGTAGTACACAGCAGAGTCAGACACACTCACATCCTGGATTGTCAGTGGAAAAGATTTTGAAATTGTGTTGAGATCGCCACTAAATCTTTCCTTGAAATGGATGGCATGATTATCAAATTTGTCCAGCATGAATTCTGGAGCTCCATTAACTTTTTGCTGGTACCAGAAGAAAATTGGCAATATATCAGTGGTTTCATATTGACAGCTGATTGTTACAACTGCTCCTTCAAGAGCTGTAAGAACTGTTGTATTTTGTTCAACACTGTCCAGAGAATCACATCCTGTAATCATGTAATGCAAAAAAAAAAAAAAATGAGAATCAGA